GGTTTCGTCCGCAGCCATTTCCCAGCCCTGAGGGGGAGGCGGCGAAGGCTGCGGGGGAGAGCGGCCCTGGCACAGAGAGGTAAGGTGTGATAACCGAGGTAGGGCGGCGGGAGAGACTAGGCCCTCTGCTCTCAGCCAGACAGCCCAGGGCATCACCAGATCCCCTCTGCTCCACAGGCATGGTGGCTGTCCCTTGGAGGATTCCACTGCCGGCTATTTCATCCTGCGCGCCGACTCCTCCTCCTTGCTGCGAAGGCACGGAGAGCGAGGGGGACCGAGGCTGCCGTGCCGAAGGGTAAGGGGGTGTCATGGGTTCCATCAGACCCCTTGGGACCAGAGACGGGAGCTCATGCCCCGTTGGGCCTGCGTGACGCTCCTCTGTGGGGCCAGGTCCCGTTTTCCTCTGACACCTGATGCATGGAGGTCAGGGAGGGGATGCTGTACTGGATGGACCGCTGGCCGTTGAGTAACGCGCCCTGCTGCATTTCCCCCAGGGGTGAGCCGGAGCTGCGGAGACGGGGAAGCACCCGCGAGGCCATGAAGGAAGAACCTGACGGGGCATCCGACAGCGGCGGGCCCACGGAGGAGCTGCAGCTTACTCTGACGTGAGCTAATTACAACTCAGACCCGTGCTGTGCCCAGCCCCCGGGGGACTCTACAGTCCTTCCCACCCTGCAGAGCAACGTCCCCTCAGCCGCTGCTGAAATGCAGCCACTTCTGGGGGCACCAGCAGCTGCTTACCGGGCCCACAGTAACACCTGCCACCAGCTTAGGGCAGGAAGGGAACAGAGTGTCTCTTGGGAGTTGCAATGTTTAGCCAGGATCCTGGGCTCACAGATAGAATCCCGGGGCGGGCAGAGACCTCGGGAGTCATCGAGTCCAGACCCTGCCCAAAGCAGGACCAAGCCAACTCAATCATCCCAGCCAGGGCTTTGACAGCGCCACCCCCAGGCTGTGTTTGTCACCTGCCTGGTAGATCCCTAAGGTGACAAAGGTGGTCTGCAGACGAGGCATTGGGGAGCCAGTCTGAGGGAGGCAGCACGTCCAGGGACCTGAAGTAGAGGAAGTGGGAGCAATGACTACTGGGTTCTCTTGCAGGCAAGTCACTTAACCACCGTGCCTCAGTTTCTCCGTCTGTATAGCGGGCGTGCCAATTTCTCAGGATGGTTGCAAAGCTGATTTATCAGTGCTTGCAAGAAGGTTGCTTGGCCCTGGGCCACGCGCTGTCCTGCAGCAAGTCTGCCCGTATGCCTTTGCCCACAGGAGACCCTCCGCCTTTGCACACTTTCAAGTGGGGAGAGGGGAGAATTAAAGGGATGCAGACAACCTGGAATCTGATCCGTGCTGAAAGCCGCGACAGGCCTTATCCTTGCCCCTCTGTCCTGTTGCCGACTGTACAATTGTACAGGGGCATGGTCGTATTCTTTCCAGCGATGCTCTTTGGGCATGGTGAGCCCCGCACCCCCAGCCCGGGGCACCGACATTGCAGGGAAAACAGTCTGACGGCACATTGTGGACAGAAAAAAAACCAAGCCAAAAGAACTTGTCTCGTCTCTTTTTCCCCCCGGGAACTCGAGGGTTCCCGCTCCAGGAGCAGCAAGAGAAAGGTGTAGTGATTTCAGTACTACCCAGGAATAACCCCGCTTCTGGACCTGCTGCTAGTACCTTGGGCTGTCTACACACTGCGCATTTTTGCGCAAGAAGATATGCAAATGAGGCACGGCGCTCTTCATCTCATTTGCATTTCTTCTTGCGCAAGAATGCGCAGCGTAGATGTAGCCTGGGTGTTTCCGGGGGAGACTGGCACGTTATCCCCTCTGCTCCTGAGGCTGACGAAGCTCCTACCCTCTTTCTTGGCAGGTCCAAAGCGGCAGCAGAAGCGCTGCCCAGGCCCTGGGCTTTCCTGCCGCAGCGCTACTGGCTTCTCCTGTGGCTGCTTTTCCTGGGGATCACCTGCCTCGCGCTGATGTGGATTTTGGAGCTGCAGAAGCAGCAGCCACCCGCAAGCCCCAAGTGGTAGGGAGGAGGAGGAAGCCTGGAGAGGGGCAGCCTGGTAGCACCCACTTACTTTTGGAAATGAAATAAAATAATAAAAGGAGTAGGGGGAAAGGGCTGTGGCTCTGTGGGGGGCACCTCCCCTGGGGGGGGCTGGGCTGCGGCTTGCTCAGGTGCAACGGGATGTGGGTGCTCTAAGGACACTAGGAGCCACTGCACCAACTTGTCCCTCCAGGGCTCCTCAATACCACCATGGCTCTTGTCAGCCCAGTCCTAGGCCCAGGGGCTGGGCCTGTCTCCGCCGGCTCTGCTCCCTTCTTCCTCTCCCTCCAGCTTGGGCTGGGCTGCCCTCAAGTGCCTCGGCCCGTCCCTGCATTCTGGGAGAGATGCAGCCTCCCAGTGTATGCCTCCCCGGGGCAAGGGACCGTGGCAGAAGAGACGCCGTTCCCCCACGCTGTGCAGGCAAGTCCGAAGCCAGCCTGGCTCGGGGAGGCGAAACACCCCACCCCCACCTCTGGGCTGTGACGATGCTTTAACAGGCAGACTGCCCCGCACAACCCACCCTGCTGTCTGTGGCTCTCGTGGGCCCTCGTCCCCCACAGCAGCTCGGTGACTAGGAAGGTGCGGGATGGGTGCTCAGCAGAGCTGTTTGCAGAAAGGCCTCACGCTTGCAGACAGGCAGCCAAAGGTCGTGGCTGCAGGGTTCAGGAAAAGCAGCTGCTTGTTGAGGCAAACTCTCTGCTGTCCCAACCTGTTCCAGGGCCCTCCGCCGCTGCGCTGGACCCCAGGGGCCAGGTGTTCTGCCGGCCCTTCCCGCCTACGCCTTCCCGAATCCCTGGGGGGGCGGGGTGTTTTCTCTAGCTGCCTCTGAGGAGTTTGAAACCCCAGCAAGGAAATGAAAGGAGCCCAGGCGCTCAGCCTTTGGTAAATAAAGAGGAAATCAGAGTCTGCCTGATTTGCCAGCCACTGGGGGTTACCAGCTGCTGGGACTGCTGCAGCTCCGGGTTTGCCCTGCATGCTCCTGGCGCCCACAAGAGGAGTTGGGGGACAGATAAACTTGATGCATAAGCCCTCCCAGGCTATTTATTTACTGCTGCTCCGCTATGGGGAGAGGGGAGCAATCAACACAGGCGTTCAGGAACCCACAGAGCTGCACAAACAGAGCACTGGGGGTTACCAGCTGCTGGGACTGCTGCAGCTCCGGGTTTGCCCTGCATGCTCCTGGCGCCCACAAGAGGAGTTGGGGGACAGATAAACTTGATGCATAAGCCCTCCCAGGCTATTTATTTACTGCTGCTCCGCTATGGGGAGAGGGGAGCAATCAACACAGGCGTTCAGGAACCCACAGAGCTGCACAAACAGAGCACACCCACTCGCCCCGACCTGTGCAAACAGGCAGACAAAGGCTGGGTCACTGCCTCCCCTCGCGTAAACAGCCGCCTGAAAGTTTCATGTGCAGCTGTAAACCGATGCGCTGCTGGAGACAGGACGAGGCAGCCCGGGGTCTGGAAGGGCGCCCTATTGAGCAGGCTGGGTGGGGCGCCCTGTAAGGGCCAGAAAGTGGCCCACAGGCCTTGATGGTGGTGGTTAAGCCCTGGGCAGGGAGTGACATAGGTGTGACTGAAAAAAAACCCAGGACTGTGTAGCACTTTAAAGACTAACAAGATGGTTTATTAGGGACCCACTTCCTCAGATCCAATAGTGGAAGAAAATAGTCACAACTATATATGCCAAAGGATACAATTAAAAAAATGAACACACATGAAAAGGACAAATCAAATTTCAGAACAGAAGGGGAATGGAAGGGGGAAGGTAAATGTCTGTGAGCTAATGATATTAGAGGTGATAATTGGGGAAGCGATCTTTGTAATGGGTAAGATAATTAGCTTCTTTATTCAAGTTTGAGTGTAAAGTGTTGAATTTAAGCATGAATGACAGTTCAGAGGATTCTCTTTGACGTGTGGTCTGAAAAGGTCTTGGAAGCAGGATGCAGGTAGTAAGGTCGTTGAGACAATGCCCTTTCTGGTTGAAATGGCAAGAAACTGTTTTCTCTTTGTGATCCTGTCTGATATCTGTTTTGTGGGCATTGATCCTTTGGCGAAGTGTCTGAGACGTTTGTCCAATGTACATAGCAGATGGACACTGTTGGCACATGATAGCATAGATTATATTTCTGGATGCGCAGGAATATGTGTTCTTGATCTTATAACTCTCTTGGTTGGGTCCAATAATGGTGTGACTGTGTTTTACAAGCAGAGGGAGCCATTTCCCCTCAGTCAATGACGCTCAACACCCAACTGACATCACAGGACACTCCCAGCCGGCTCAGGTAGTCTCCCAACACGGCCATTGACAGACACTCCCCTGCCCTTCCTTGATGTGGTGTGAGATTCCCCGTTTTCTCCACTCTGCCGGTGTGAGGAAGTGGGTTGTGCCCACGCCAGCTCATGAGCCTTTGTGTATTTTTGTTAGTCTCTAAGGTGCCACAGGACACACGTTTGTCCTGACTGGAGCTAGTCCTGGGGGGATTCTACAATTACTGCATTTGGTGTCATGGCAAAATTTCAGAATTCCTTCAGGACCGAGTCCCCCTTTCAGGAGTTTGATTTGCCTTGCGTATCCCCACCTTTCGCCTCCCTTAGAAACGCGTCGCCTGCAACCGCGGGCATAGGCACGCGAGTGGGACCGCCACACTAGTCCTAAAAAAATGGCCGATTTTCTCCATATAATTGTAAAAGAAGCCAACTTGCATATACACGGCGCACTGACGTTTTGGTATGAAATGTTTGTTTGCACTGGCTTCACCAGGGCTTTTTATGTCGCTTGTTGTAAAAGGATGGAGGCCAATCTCTAGCTGAGTCGCTGCACCCCCTAGACGAGCACTGCGTACCCCAGGGGCACGCGGACCCCTGGGAGAGAGCCACTAGTCCAATGAACCAAGCCAGGAGCAGGACCGGTAGCGAGAAGGGAGCAGTGAGCATCAGTGGATGGAGCAGTGGGCTGGGAGTCAGGGAGACTGTGTTTTATGTGAGTATGGGCAAGCCGCCGCCCTTTGCTGTGCCTCTGTTTCCCTGTTGTCTGCGTTTTGGGGAGGCTGGAGGGGGCGCTCTGGTGCTGCTAATAACACAGGGATGGCAGGCGTAGGGGGGGTGGTATGTGTGGGGAGAGAGCCCGACTGGGCTAGGCGGAGCAGGGGGGTGAAGGATGTGGCTGGGAGGGGGG